AACAGACAGTAATCTATTATTCATCGGATATACAAATGATTTGCTAAATAACTTGAATTGTTTGCTAATATTACTAAACATATCGTCTAATATAATGCCATAGACTATTGTATTTATTAGTACTAAATATAAATAGTTTATTATATTGTATAAATCAATAAACGATATAATAATAAATATGATAATATTTGGTAAACTATAGTTAAGGTGCTGATCATAATAGCCCAATATTATGGGCAAATTCATTACAGCAAATCAACAATAAAAAACAAACCAATAAATAAATTTATGTAGAAATGTCATTATAATTAGATAGTAACATAAATTTTTTCAAACAGATTAATATTATTAAATTCAGATTTATATTTACATAAATTAATTACTTCATCTATAACTGGATAAAAATATTGTCTATCAATTAATTCATACCATAAACATAATAGTGATCCAATAATATTTGCAAATTGTATTATTAAAATAAATGTCAAAATTAATTGTTGATTTCCATACAGATATGTATAATCGCATAATTGTATTGTTAACCATTTGTAGTTATAGTTGTCATTGTTATCATTTGTATTATTATTATTATTATTATTATTATTATTATTATTATTATTATTATTATAAGCATTGCCTATATATAAGCCAATCGTACGAAACATATCTAAAAATGTGATAATTCTTAATACAATACTAATAAAAATTTGATTACTATTGATATTTTCAATCAAATATTTATCATCAATGCGTTGTGAATTAATTATGTAATGATTGTCTAACCATTTGATCAATAAATCGGTAAAATGTTTATTATAATAATTAATCATGGTTGATTTGTTATGATTAAGTTTATTAATATTATTTCTATAATAATTAATAATATTTATACAATAATTAATAATATTTATACAATAATTATTATAATTAAATTTATCTTATACACTAAACTTAAATTGATGTTTTAGTGTAAAAATAACTAATTATATACACTGTATATATCTTATGTTGAAATTAAATAATTTTTGTGAAATATAAATCAAAGAAATAATATATTATTTTTTGTTTAATTATTAATAACTAAAAAATAAATTTATACAGTACTGTACTATACATGCCATTCAATCATTAATATAATATTTTTATAAATAATAATGTAAAAAAAGCAATTACAGTATCTTAGTCTATATTGTAAAACTTTAACATTTAACATATAAGTTAAATAAACTTATATTGTTTAGAAAATTACTTAATAACTATAATATAATAACTTTTGATTAGTTTTTCTATTGTATATAGAAATTACAAATAATTAATATATTTTCTATTATGAACTATAGTTATAAAAAAAACTTGAATATTATTTAAGTACATTTATCTAATATTTAGGTACTATTTATTAATGTTTTTAAATATATACAGTATTATAATCATAATTATAATAGTTTAAATTAGCATAGGATATATTAGACTAAATTATATATAAATATTAAAGAAAATAGATTTATATGTATATAATATTATTGATACAATATTATAATATTTATAACTATTTATAACTGTTTATATTTACACTCTAATAATACTACAGTAGCTATTTTAGGATACAATATAATAGTTATAATATTAATAAAAGTAATAATATTTTTCTAACAATAATGTTTTTTTTACTTAAATAAATTAATACTAAAATATTTTTAAAAAAAAATATTTAGATTTTCTAGCAAAAAATAAATACTAGTAAAAACCTAAATATATTTAAAGTATGATAAATTTTGAATTTATTTTTTAGCTGAAATTTACAAAAATATTTTCAAATAATTAAATAATTTTTCTATCATATTATGAAATAATATATATATATATAAATTACTAATAACTATTATAATAAATTTTTTAATTATTATTAAATTACAAACTAATTATACATGGTTAACAGGGCATCTCAATAATACAATTCAAAATATCTAATCTAACTTAACATAAAAAAAAGTATTAATAATAAATAACAAAATTATTAATACTTTTTTTTAAAAAAAAATTATATTATTTTAAAAAATAACTTTTAAAAATTGTTATTTAAAAATTTTGATAACAAAAATTTGTATATTAAACTGAAAATATAGACTAAATTAAACTAATAATAATAATAATAATAATAAATAGATAATTTTTATCACAAATTTATATTGACTTGAATTAATAAAATTGTTTTATTATTATTATTATTATTATACTAATAATATTAATATATCTTCAATTATCAAAACATTGGCATTGTTGACGTGTAGGGGAAACTACCTGTACTCTAGAGCACCTGGATCTTAGTCCTGGATAACACAAAAGTACAGTATTAACACACACACACACACACATAGGTTTTATAAACAAAATATCCACAAATGGTTAAAAAAAACAGTTATCGTTATAATTAACTTAAGTATCAATCAATAAACTTGTTTTCTCTCTCTCTATATATATATAATCAGTGATACTATTGGTATGCGAATTATACTACTGTATACTTGTCCTAACTATCAGTACAGTAATATTTTTTGAAAAAATAATTATTTCAAATTAATTATTACAAAATAAAATAGTAATAATAATAATAATAATAAAAACTGTATTATATTTTACTAAATAACAACAATAGGATATAACCTATTAATTCTAGAAACATAGTTATTTTTTTTATTGAAATTAATATTAATAATATTATTTTTTTATAGATAAGTTTACTTAATTAATCTATTTGTATTACTAACTAATTTATTTCCACCCCCTTATTCCCCTCCTAAAAATATATATACATAAAATAAAATATAACAAACAATATATAATTAATATATATATATATATATATATACTGTAAATCTATTTTATCAATTTTAACATTAAATATTTCTAATGGTATTTAAAATTAAGATAATTAATACCTGATTATTATATAAATACAACTACAAAAAATATCATTCAATTTAATTTCTAAACTATTATTTTTTATATAAAACTAATAAAAAACACTGTATTTTTTATATAAATTTTATAATAAAAAAGTTATACTATTATTAAATATTTTTTTTTATTAAATTTCTAATATAAACATATTATTACCAAAAAAAAAACTATAATGAAATTATTGATAGCAAGTGTAACCCTATTATTATTATTTGGTAATATATTTTTTACCCCTATTTTATCAAATTATATTATAATATTTTGTATAAAATTATATTATAATATTTTGTATAAAATTATATTATAATATTTTGTATAAAATTATATTAATATAATTTAAAAAAAATAATTTATTTATTTATTTTGTTGTTGTTGTTGATAGTGTCGGTAACATTATGTGATGAATTTAAATGTCCGAAAACCGACTGTCCAGCACTTTATGATTGTTTTTTTGAATACCAGGGCAACAATCATCTCTATTGGAACTGTAATGTTAGCCCACCTAACATCCAGGCCTGTCCTCCGGGAACCGTATGGAATGACCCAATGAAACGATGCGATTGGCCTTAAAAATCAATTTTTAAAAAAAATCATTGAACTAAAACCTACCAGTCCTTCGATAAATAACAAAAAAAATGCTTTAAAAATATTATTAAAAAAAATTATAACTATTATTAACAGTTATCATATATATATTATATATTATGTTAAATAATTTTTTTTCTATTGATTATTATTAATAATAATAATAATAAATAAATTATTCAAGCAAACAAAATAATTTTTAAAAATCTATATATTATTAATACAGTATAAACTTATAAATTTAAAAATTATTTACTTATACAGTATTATATTTATAATGATTATTTTTTTATAAAAAAACAAACATTAAATTTATATTTTATGATTGACAATAAATTATTAATTTTTATTTACAAGCAATTTTGTTCAATGTCAAATTAATTTATTTTAACTCATCATATTACTTAAAAATAGTTATTATTACAATGTCAATTATATTCAATATTATAATTAATAATCAACGTAAATATTTAAAATAAAAATTGCTAATATAAAAATTATATAAATATATTATGTATTTTTTTATTATAATATAATTAACTAAATTTATTTATAAATAAAAATTTAATATTTTGATATAAAGGTAATAAAATGGTATATTTATAGCTATAATTATATTATCAATTTTGTTATATTCAAAAAAATAAATAAATATTTCTCATTATTTAATTGTGTAATTTAATAATAATTTATTTACAATAATTTATACAGTAATATTATGAACAGTAAAGTGAAGGTTTGTATAATTATTTTTTTTTATTATTTATAAAGTATTTGAAAATTTTATTATTAGTATTATTATTATTATCAATGATAAAAGATATAGTTATCAAATGAGAAACTTTCAATCAATCAAAAAAAACCTACATTAATATACTATCATATTATTTGATAATTTTATATAAAAATAAATAAATATTTAATAAACATATAATTATAGCCATTATATAAATTTATATAAATTATGTATATATTATTAGTACATATACAATATATATTATAGTAGATTTATTAAATATTTATTTTCTAGAAAATATTCAATAATTATAAACTAAACAAAATTTAATATTATTTGAAAATATTAATAAAAAAAATATTAAATGAAAATATTTTACACCTGTTTTTATTTAGTTATTAGTTATACAATTTTAAATATATATAAATAAATAAATAAATAAATAAATAAATATATATATATATATATATATATATATTGTAAATACAGTTTATCTTAGGTATAAAGTCTAATACTAGACATATAACAACATTAAGAGTGTATTTAAAATATAAACATTAAAATAAAAATTATCGCTATTTATATTTATATAAATTTTTGATATTATAAACTTTAATAATAATAATAATAAGGAACCCATTTGTTTTTATCTAAAAAGTAAATCAACAAATAATTACAAATAATATACAGTAAATATATTTTCATATAAAGTGCCCAATATTTTTAGCTTATGTATCAAACACTGATGATAACAACAACAACAACAACAACAACAACAATATTAAAATAGGAAATACCGGTTTTTTTTATTTAAAAAAAACTAATAGATTGAAATGGTATTATAGTTTATGCTATGGGGATGTCTACCACCAAAAATAATTTGTAAAATAGGATAACAGCACCACTACATCATCGCCAGTGAGGTAATAACCTGAACACTATTTAGGTCACTGTTATGTTATGACTCTCTCTCTCTCTCTCTCTCTCTCTCTCTCTCTCTCTCTCTCTCTCTCTCTCTCTCTCTCTCTCTCTCTCTCTCTCTCTTTCTGTATTCTAAAAATACAACAAATAGTTGTCTCTAAACTCCTGTTCCCCTAAACCTAATATTACTGTGAACTGAATGAATGAATGGATTGACAATCAGTTTCTTATGTTATTTAACTATTATAATATACTGTATATATAAAAATATATGTGATATGAAACCACGTATACAACTGTTTTATTTATTTTGTTGAGTTATGATAAATATATATTATAGTTATAACTATTATTAGTGTGAAAAATCATATATATATATATATTCAAATAAACTGTATATTAAACAGTTATGTCCGACAAAATAAAGATAGCCATTATAGGTGCGGGTGCTTCCGGTGCTACGGCTTGTAAAGCCTGTCTGGAAGAGGGTTTCGATGTTGTCGTCTACGAGAGGACAACATATACGGGTGGTCTGTGGCGATACCGGGAGGACGTTGTCGACGGTGTGGCCTCAGTGGCCAAAAGTACTATTATTAACTCGAGTAAAGAGATGTCCGCTTTTTCCGACTTTCCACCGCCGGCTGACTTTCCTAACTATATGCACAATACAAAAATGGTTAGTAATATATATATATAACAAAAATGTTGATAAAAATATAATTATTATTATTATTTATATCTAATTATAAAATGTTAACACTTTTTTAAATATATAAATTTTAGTTAGAGTTAGTTAAATAAACTATTTTAATTTTTATTTTTTTTTATAAATTATTATTATTATTATTTTTATTTATATCTAATAATAAATAATACATGTTAACAGTATTTTTTTAAATATAAATTTTAGTTAGTTAGTTAAATAAACTATTTAAACAATTTTTTATTTATATATTAATTATATCTAGAAAATATAATAACTTTACTAATTAAGTATAAATAAAACTAAAATACTAATAAAAAAATTTAAAACAAACATTTAATTAATAAGATATTTTTATTTATAGTTTAGTTGTATATAAATTTATTTATCAAAACTAATTATTACAAAAAAAAACATTGAGTTATTTCATTATTTATTTATAATTAACAAATACATGTTATTTTTTAAAAATGAAAATATTTTTTTTTCAAAAATAACAAAAACAATAATAACTAAAATAACAATAAGTGCTGTAATTGTTATTTATTTTTTATTTATTTATAATTTTTTAGGTAAAATATTTTGATTTATACGGCGAGACGTTTGGCTACGAAAAGTATGTAAAATTTAGACACGAAGTCATCCGATTGGAGCCAAACGGCGACTACGAGAGCACCGGTAGATGGAAGCTAACAGTTCGGGACAACAACAACAACAATAGCAGCAGCAGTGGACAGGTATTCAGTGAAGTGTTTGACGGTGTTATGGTATGTACTGGACATCACGTTCAGCCACTGGTACCGACGTTCAGGGATCAGCATCTGTTTGGCGGTCAGATATTGCACACACATTCATACAAAAAACCCGACGCTTATCATAATAAACGGGTAGTCGTAGTGGGAATCGGCAATTCAGGTGGCGATGCAGCCGTCGAACTGTCCTCAGTCGCCGATCAGGTATGTAGTAGTAGTAGTAGTAGTATAGCTGTTAGTTTGTTAGAGCACTAGTAGTTTTGATTTTTTTTTTAAAGATACCCGTCCCTTTTTAATTACCAATTAGACTTTTTCTGGCAATTAGTACCACTTTTATTGCATTGCTTATAATCACTACAATCACTACACTTACTATTATTATTATTATTGCTGTAATTTTTTGAAAACTTTTGTTGTTGTTGGCTATTGTTGTTATTATTGTTGAAATTATTTTGATATTTATTATTACTATTAGTCGACAAACTATTAAATTTGTTGCTATTATTTGATGACATTTTTTTAATTTTTTTTAATGACTTACTTATACAAACACAACTAAATAATAGTTAAAAATAATTAGTTTTTTTAAATACTACTAATAATTATAATGTTTTTCTTTTAATAACACTTTTTTAAATAAAAAATTATATTTATTTTTTACATTATATTGTCATTTATTAGTGACATTGTATAGCAATCATATGTTAAAATAAAAATGTCTTATACTGTATAATATAATACAGTATACAGTAGTTTATTATACAATAGTTATACACTAATAAGTTATATATAGATTTTTTTTTATATATATATATTTACTTTATATACTTTATGCTATTATATATAGATATAGATATATATTACATGTATTCAGTCACGTAATACTTTTTTTTTATATATATATATAATTATTATGTAAAAACATGTTTAAAAAATTATTTAAAAAAATGTTTGAAAACTTTCTATACAATATATATACTGTATATATAGTAATATGATTTTAAGGTTGTTAAACAACTTTTTTTTAAAAAAAAATTACTAAAATTTTCTATTAAAATATTTTTGTTTAATAGAAAAACTATTAAATAAATATTATACCCCAAAAAATAAAATAAATGTCAATGATATATAAATAATTAGTTTAATTTAAATTTAATTACATAATAATAATTTATAAATCAATCAAAAAATATAGTGAAAATTATTTACAAATACTTACACAAAAAAAAATACTTACAATAACTATAACTAATTTTTTTTTAAAAATAACATTAAAACAAACAAACAAACAAAAATATGTAATTTTTTTTAAATTGAAAATTTTATTTATATGTGTGGACAGGTATATCTATCCACTAGACGGGGCACATGGATGGTCCATAGGGTCGGCCCTAATGGCAAACCGTTTGACAGTTGTTTTATACGCCGGTATATCAACTTTTTCATGAATTATATGCCCTATTCGTTGATCTGTTCGATAGCCGAATCGTATATCAATAGCCGATTCAATCATAGAGACTATCAATTGAAACCCGATCACCGAATACTGTCCCAACATATTATGGTCAACGATTCACTACCTAATCGTATACTGTCGGGCACTGTTACCGTCAAGTGCGATATCGACCGGTTTACACAAACTGGTGTTATATTTAAAGGTTTTTTTTTGATTTTTTTTTAAACAATTTATATATATATATATATTGTATATGTATAACATAAGGGTTACGAAAGGTTTTCGATTTCAGGGGGGGGTAGTATATGGGATGGGGGTAAAATTGAAAAAATCTTGAAAAAGCTATAGGAGGGGTTAATTAAATACCCAGTAAATTCCCTATAAATTCACACTAAATTCCCACTAAATTCCCACTAAATTCTCACTAAATTCCCACTAAACTCAGACTAAATTCCCACTAAATTCCCACTAAATTCCCACTAAATTCCCACTAAATTCCCACTAAATTCCCACTAAATTCCCACTAAACTCAGACTAAAATTTAGTGGGAATTTAATGGGAATTTAGTATGAGTTTAGTGAGAATTTAGTGGGAATTTAGTGGTAATTTATTAGGAATTTATTCAAATTTGACAAAAATTGTAATTTAAAAATATAATAAAAAATATTCACCCCCCCCCCTATACCCCAAGCTATTTCGAGTTTTTTTTTTGCAATTTTACCCCCCCCCCCATCACACTATAATAATAATAATAGTAATACCATTGTATTTAAACACATGTTATATTATAAGTGAATTATTATTTTCAGGCGATACCCGCGAAACTCCGTGCGATGTCGTACTATTGGCCACTGGCTATCGGGTGTCGTTTCCGTTCATATCGCAGGAACTGATTCCTACCGCCAAAAATCACGTCCAACTCTATAAATATGTTTTCCCGGCCCGACTGTCGCATCCGAAAACACTGGCCTTCATATCGCTGGCTCAGCCAATCGGTGCACTGTTACCGATCGGCGAACTACAGAGCCGATGGTTTGCCCAATTGATGGCCAACAAACTGCGGCTGCCGTCCAGTGAGCAGATGTTTGCCGATATCGATAAAAAACGCGAGTTTATGAAACGATTTTACGAAAGCGATAGACATACCATTCAAGTCGATTGGATTAACTTTATGGACGAATTGGCCGCCGAAGTGGGAGTCCGGCCACAGATATGGAAGTATTTGTTTACTGATCCCGAACTGTGGCTGACATTGGCTTTTGGACCGTCCCTGTCCTACCAGTACAGACTGGAAGGTATGTGATTTTTTTTTCGGGTGGGGGAGGGGTTTGAAAAACAGTATTATTTAAATTAATTATTTTTTTTGTCAAATCGTTAGGCCCTCACTCATGGCCCGGTGCTCGCGATGCCATAATGACTGTTCACAAGCGTATAGGAGCCCCACTTAAGACCAGACAACCCCTTAACCGGCAAAAGTTTATGGGTTTTAAAAGTTTGCATTCATTGAAACGATTGATAGGACTATTGTTTTTCATGATTTTTGCTTATTTACTAAACTTTTTGTTTTAATTTTTTGTTTTGTTTTAAATTTTATAATTATTTTTTTTACTTTACTTTAAAGTCTCATTTGATTTTTTATTTTTTATGTGAAATTTTATTTTTTATAAAAATTAGTTAATGATAATGACATAAATAATAATAATTAATATAATAAATGTTGTATTCATATTAAATTGTTTTTTTTATAATTTAAAATAAATATAATTTTATTTTTAGTTATTATGTGATGTAGTGTTTTTTAATAAAATAAAATATTTTTAATATTAATTTTAACGTTATTTTAAACTATAACAATTATGATTAATTTTATTTTTTATTTTATAATTTTTACATTTTCTATAATTATAAATTATCATAATATATATATACTTTAATTACATTTACTAAAAATTATAGTAATTTTCAATATTTATTTAATGATAACTAACCTAATTTATAATAAATTATTTTTTGCAAATTTTTATTAGATATTACTATTAGATATTTAAGATTTTATTTTCTAGGATTTATTATAAAATAATAATAATTAAAAAAAAAATCTAAAATCTAATTAATATATTATGTGTTCAAAATAATCAAATATAATAGATCTTGTTAATTTTGTTATTTATTTTTATAATTTTATTAAACAAATAATAAAAAAAAATTAACACATTATAAACAACAATACTTATTACAAATATTATTGAATTGAATTATTATTGTTAGACTTATATTAAATATTTTCTACATTTATATAACTTAAATATAATACTAATTAAGAATAAATTATATAAATATTGAATTTTATGATAATATTAAAATCAATAATATTTTTTTATATAACTTGACTTTTCTATGAATATAATATATAAAAATACTTTGACGTTAAATAAAAAAAAATCATAAAATTACTAAATATATAACTATTAATAATGTTTATTGAAGTCAAAATAAACTTAAATATAATTAATATTATTATATATCACACTATTATAATACTATTTATTATTATTGAGAATAATAATTTATCTAAATTTAAATAAACTAATAAATCATTGATATATATATATATTTAGTCAAATAAATAAATACTAATTAAACTATTTATAAATATATAAATTTAGTTTACAGTTGTATTAATTTCAAAAAACTGTTATTAATTACTATTACTAGTATTATTATTAGTATTATTATTAGTATTATTATTATTAGTATTATTATAAGTATTATTATTAGTATTATTATTAGTATTATTATTCGTATTATTATTAGTATTATTATTAGTATTATTATTATTATTATTATTATTATTATTATTATTATTATTAGTATTATTATTAGTATTATTATTAGTATTATTATTATTAGTATTATTATTAGTATTATTATTAGTATTATTATTAGTATTATTATTAGTATTATTATTAGTATAATTATTATTATTATTATTTTTTTCCCCAATAATTATGGAATATTCTGATAAATTAATTAAACAAATAACCGGTTTTCGTGACCAACAACACAAACGGGACAAAGTATTAGGCATTGAATTATATCAACAATATATGAGACGTACAAATGTTTTTGTGACTAACGGTGCTGAGGACTACTTTGCCGGTATATATCCGAGGAACAGGCGTTTTGTAGCCTACTGTCAAAATCTGATACTATGGTTACATATAGTCAAATTTGCCTGTCTATCGTTAACACAAAACGCATATATTGACTATCTATTTGGCAATCAATTATATATATTTAATTTAGGCTATATATTGGAGATTTCAATATTGATATTTGCATTATTTTTTGCATCAGTGGGTAAATAATATTTTATTTATTTTATTTTTAAAAATAATTTATAATAATTAATATTTATTATCATTTAAAATTTTATATTATATTATATATATATGTTGTGTTAAATTTAGTAATTTTAAATATTAAATTGTAAAGTTATAAAATAATATATATATATATATAATAATTAATATTTATTATCATTTAAAATTTTATATTATATTATATATATGTTGTGTTAAATTTAGTAATTTTAAATATATTAAATTGTAAAGTTATAAAATAATAATGTATATATATATATAAATTTATAATAATTAATATTTATTATCATTTAAAATTTTATATTAATATTTATATATATATATATTAATTTATTATTTTATTAGTTATAAATATTAATTATTTATTAATAATAGTTCAATATATAGATATATGATATTATATATGTTGTGTTAAATTTAAAAGAAAATATAATAATAAAATAATAATGAATATATTTAAATTTTTTTATAAAAAAAAACAAATTATCCAGGTACTTATTTATTATATAAGGAACATGGTAAAAATGCTAAATACTATTATCTATTTCATATGCTTGAAAAACAATCAAGCTTAAATTTGACACCCATTGATCTGGCTTATTTTACCAAACATTGTATGCTATTTTCCAAATATATTATCGCAATTATTGAATTAGGAAAATATGGTTTCTATTTTCTAAATACAATTATCGTTATAATTATGTGTATTTTATATTTTATTAATACTAGTAATGATAATAATAATGATAATAATAGTTTATATAATAAGTTAGAGTATCTAATATTGTTGATGGTTTGGTGGGCACTGGGATGCAATGCCATACGTACAGTATTTGCATTGATGTTGACTACATATTTCTATATCTATATTGTATCACTATATTTACAATTAAGATTTAGGCAAACATATCGACAAATTAATTTAGCTGACAGTTTAGGTAATTTTAATTAATTTTAATTAATATTAATTAGTTTTTATTTATTAAAATTAATTATTTATATATTATATTTATAAAAATTAATTAGTTATTATATTATATTTATTACGATTAATTAGGTATTATATTTTATTTATTAAAATTAATTGGTTATTATATTATATTTATAAAAATTAATTATTTATAAATTATATTTATAAAAATTAATTAGTTATTATATTATATTTATTACGATTAATTAGGTATTATATTTTATTTATTAAAATTAATTATTTATATATTATATTTATAAAAATAAATTAGTTATTATATTATATTTATTACGATTAATTAGGTATTATATTTTATTTATTAAAATTAATTGGTTATTATATTATATTTATAAAAATTAATTAGTTATTATATTATATTTATTACGATTAATTAGTTATTATATTTTATTTATTATAATTAATTATTTATATATTATAATTATAAAATTAATTATTATTATGCTTATATTATAATTATAAAAATTATTTATTTATATATTATATTTATAAAATTAATTATTATTAGTATATTATATTTATAAAAATTAAGTATTATTAGTATATTATATTTATAAAAATTAATTATTATTAGTATATTATATTTATAAAATTTAATTTTTCAATCAATTAATTTTTTTAAAATAATTATGATATTCTTAATTTAATTTTTTTTAAATAGTTTTTAATATTAGACTCTATAAACAAATTGTCGATCACAACCAAATCGCCAAAATAACCGAAGATATCAATTCATGGCTCCGGGATATATTGATTTGGTTTTACTATATATTCATACCTGTACTGGATTTTGCCATAATATTCATTATCTATGGAAACGATCTACTATTGAAATATCCAGTATTGATACTAATCATTATAATCAGTCTAAACATGTTGTTTGTCAATCATCTATTGGTTAGTATAGGCAGAGAATCGCATAAACCCTATGTTTGGATGTCCGGACTGTTGGCCCGCAATCCGAGGCTAATGTAACCGGCCGTGCGGTTCAAAACCGCCAGATTTTGTGAACTACTAAGCGGTTCGTTGATCGGTATCTATTGCGGGAAATTGTTTCCGTTTACCAATTATTCAATACTACTGTTGGGCGTCAATTGTGTCCTACAGTTTACATTGTATATTAAATTTGTTAATTAAATTTATATATTTGTAAAATAAAAAATATGTTTTTTTTTGTTGGTATAATATAAATAATAAAAATAAAACAATACTAATAAATAAGGAAATTATAAATTTATTATTATTATTAGAAATATTTAAGTAGCTTATAATTTTTGTATGTATATTATTTTTTTATTAGTCTATTAAATAATTGATTTAAAAAAAAAATTTAGATTAAATATAATCACATTATTAATAGTCAATAGAAATAAATTGATTTTTTTTAGTAAAATTTTTAATTATTCAACAAACAAAAATTGTCAATTTATATTTACTATGTTTATAAGTATAGTAATTTTTAAACCAAATAAATGTTTAAAAAAAATTTTGAAAATTTTTTCTATGAGTGAGTACATGCATATTATATAATAAAACTTTTTTTTTATTAATTTTTTTTTATTTTCTTATTATATATAGGAATATAATACTGTAAAAAAATCATAATATAGTTTTTATAATTGTATTAATAAAAAAAAATATTTGTGCTTTTATTTTGACAATTTTACATTAGCTTTGTGTTCATAATAAGTAAATTAATTGTAATAACTATATGTTTGAATTTATTGGATATTTAATTAAATTATAAAATAATATATTAATTAACTTCTATGTCTATAAAACTGTTAGCTAAAAGTAACAGCTGTCCAGTCTATTACTTGCATTAATTTAAAGTGATTTATTTTGTGGCTATTTATGAGTTTACTAACTATAGATAGCTAAGTGTATTTTATAGATTTTTTTTCACTATAAAATTATATTTTCTTATATAGAAATATTATACTGTAAAAAAAAGTCTTAATATAATTTTTATAATTGTATTAATAAAAAAAAATATTTGTGTTTTTATTTTAACAATTTTACATTAGCTTTGGTTCATAATAAGTAAATTAAATTGTATGACTATATGTTTGAATTTATTTGAGGCATTTAAATGTTTTAATATAGAAATGTATAATTATATTTATATATTGTTTTTTTTAAATTTATATATATTGTTATATAGAATATTATGTTTTAAAAATCATAATATAGTTTAT